GCTTCTGTTGGAATATGACCTCCATGTTGTTTTTAAAAGCTCTGATTTCTTTGCCTCTTTAAGATGTCGGATGTCATCCTTGTCCCATTCAAAAATACAGCTGGACAACTTGGAGCAAAAAGTACCATACAGTGGATGGTGCTCTGTTGTAAGACCAGTAGTGAATCTCCTCATAAAGTGGAAAACATCAAGTCTCACTTTGACTTTCCATGGTCGAAACCAGGTAAGAACTGGTGTTACACCTGTACCAGTGAAAGACAAGGAAAGCATTTATGCATTTTCTTATATTTCAAGGCTATGAGAGCCCAGGTTCAGGGTTCCCACATTCATGGAAAACTGGAAGTATCAGGGAAGGTTTAAATATGTGATTTCCGGTGATTGACAAAGTCATGGTAATTAACAAAATCCTATAAAGTCATGGAAACTTCTATAGTGAATACGTGGTTTTAGTTATGATCAGCTCAGACCTGACATTAATAATATTGATCTGTGCAAGTGCTAACACCAATTACATAATGATCATTGGTGGTAATGAAACAAATATCACCACAAATTTTGAGAATGTCTTTTGCAACATCATTCATTTTGGGGTGAAAAAAAAAAGTGAAAATTCCTGGTAGGAGAAGATTGAAGGTCACACACCTGTCTCACTGCAGCAATCCCTGTCAACATAAATGACATCTGGCTCTGGCTCATCAGCATCCCTGTAGCGCTTGACGATACCTTGACATAAGTCATCTAGACCCGCTCCCTCACCAGTTGTTAAAACACAGTTCAGGACTTGCCCAAACTCGTTACCAATATTGGTCATCCACGTGCGTGTCCGCAACGCCACCAGCAAGTTTTTTGGTGATCTATATAAATATGTAAACATACATATTAATATAACAATTATTGAAAATCAATTGAAGTTAACATATATTTGCCTACACACACACACACACACACACTTACCTTCTTTGTAGAATCAAGCTTCAGGATTCTACCGTATGTTGACGTAATGACACCTTTCAACTCGTCAAGATGACCCAGGATCTCGTTGGCATGTACTGTCTCAAACCACTGTGCCAGGGGTAGGGGGCAAAACGGTGGTGGACGCTGATAAATTGTCTGTGACTTGGTCAAGGCACTTCTCTTTTTGTGAAGCTCACAATCTGACAGGTAGTTTATGCTCCGTCTTGCCCACTCCTCACTGTGAAGCTCATGAATCGCTTGCTGCAAGTAACTTGAGCTGTTTCCTACAGTTCGTGGCTTCAGCAAAGTTACACATTTCCTGTCCAGAGCAAGCTGAGTGGTGAGAACAGCCGGGAATTTGTTTCTATGGGAAGGATCTAGTTGCCTGAGAATCTCCATACTCCAAGGGCAGACAGGAACCATGCACTTACGCCGCCGAGGGTAGTCTGCTCCAATTAGGTAGTATCTGGAGTCAATATCAATGACTTCCCTCACTTTTGTGTAGATTCCCGAGTGGTGCATCTTCCTATCGCACTGCGTGCATTTCAACGGAATGCCCCACATGCGCATTGGTGCCCACAAAAACATGCGCTGTCTAAAGTAGCTATCTGGATCAGGAGGGGAAGTTGTGGGCTTGCAAGGTGTTGGTGGATGAAACCAGTTATGTGAAAATTGTTGTTTCAACTGTCCATTGCTGTCATAAAGACACTGTGAAATCCATTTCTGGTCTGCTGGTTTAATGACTCTACTGAATTGCTTGGGGAGAAAACTCGCCCAATTTATTTCAGGAGGCCTCAGGGTAAAGGGTGTTGTGGATGGTGTGTGGGGTAAACTTTTGGAGCTCCTTGGGTGTAAATGGGTTTGTTTGTGTCAGCAGCAACTGATGGATGTGCTTGTGCAGCTACAGGATGAATCACAAATGATGATGTGGGAGGAGCTGTAGTTGGATCCACAGTTTTTCTGCCGTCTGCAAAACTACTCAAATGATGGTGTTTTTCAATATGCTGAAGCAGTCCAAGTGCACCCCAGACGTTTGCGCCACAACGGTCACAACACTCTTGGGTATGGTAGTCCGACAGGTGTTCAGTATAATCCTCCACGTTGACTTCTTTGCCACATAGACCGCACTTGATTACATTCGATTCATTAGCCCGAGTACTGGTCTGTGAAGCCGACTGCTTTCCTATACTGAACTGTGGCACTGGCGGCTTTCCTGTACTGGTGTGTGGCACTGGCTGCTTTCCTGTCTTTCCTGTACTGGTGTGTGGCACTGGCTGCTTTCCTGTCTTTCCTGTACTGGTGTGTGGAACTGGCTGCACGACTGTACTGGCCTGTGGGACTGGCTGCACGACTGTACTGGTCTGTGGGACTGGCTGCACGACTGTACTGGTCTGTGGGACTGGCTGCACGACTGTACTGGTCTGTGGGACTGGCTGCACGACTGTACTGGTCTGTGGGACTGGCTGCACGACTGTACTGGTCTGTGGGACTGGCTGCACGACTGTACTGGTCTGTGGGACTGGCTGCACGACTGTACTGGTCTGTGGGGCTGGCTGCCCACTGTACTGGTCTGTGGGGCTGGCTGCTCAGGCTGATTCCCTGTCTGTTGAGCAGACTGGGAAAAAGTGTTAGTTTCTCCCTAGGTCTGAAAATATTTCCAGCGTTTCAAACAACATTACTCTTTTTTATTGACACAATACAAACATAAATAATGAACATGCTTCTGTTATGAAAATGTACATACTGGAAGAAATATAGTAATATTACCTTTATATGGCAATGGTCACCAGCACAGGTAAAATGATCATGTTTATCATTACATACCTTGTGATAACCGCATTTGCAAGGGGTTCTTTTCCCAAACATGTCGTAAATACGGGTCTGCTTGTGTGATGGACAGTTATCAATACTGTGCAACGCAGCCTTCCACTTCTTTGCTCCTGGCTTCTTGCCTGTTGTGAAGTGGTACTTCCCTTGGGGCATACTTGCAAAGGATGTCATACCAGTACACGTCTGGTTTGCCGGTCTTCGTCATGTCTGCAAATGTGAAACAACAGGCTAAATATCAGTCAACTTGAGCTCAATTTTAGGTTAGTGATGACATGAATATAATTCTATAATTCATGTTTCTTTATGTACATGGACGGTTACCTAATTATGTATGAATTTATTTTATGTCAGCATCAAATACAATCTTACATTGTAAATAGAATAGATAATAATGTTTAAACTAAACTAAAGAGTGCTAAAAGTTTTTAGTTATCTAAAAGCAGTATCAATGATAAAGTAAACTATAACGTAATCGGTTAACACTGAGGAGATTTCTCTTTTACTGTTTGAATAAAATATTTTGACACGTCCATCCATTTTCTGTAGCGCTTATCCTACAACCGTGTCTCATGGAGCCTGGAGTCTATCCCAGGGGCTTGGGGCAAAAAGGCGGGGACACGCTGGAAGGGGTGCTTCATATTGAAATTCCAGGACATTCAAAAACTTTTCAAGCACAATTGTTTTTGTTTTCAAGGACTCTACAAGATGTAATTCAAACATATTCTTTATTTAAGTAATAATAATAATAATAATAATAACAACAATATAATAACAATATAATAAAAATAAAACACAAGCACATTTTATATGCTGCCTTTTCCAGTTACTAGATGATAATTTAAATACAGCGGCTGTGCTGTGTTTTCGGCTATCTGTAAAATGATCACTCGGAGAGAAAGTTTGAAGTGGATGAATGAGCTGCTCCTCTCTGCCCCTCACTGTACAGAGGAGCCGCAGAGAGAGGTGTGTCTCCGGGGGAGCAGGACCGTGCACTAACGGGGCAGTACTGGGCGAACTCTTCTACGAAAATTGGCTAAGGTTTGCCCAGAAATGCACTAGATTTTTCTCAAGGTGCAATTTTGAAGAAGAAGAAGAAACCGCTAAACGGAACATGAGCATGCAAACTCCGTGCACACAACCACAAGCGTGTCCCTCATTAACACATTAACCGACTTTTTTTTTTCTCCCAACTGTTCACCTTTACTTATGATACAACCAAATGAGTTTAAATGAAATTCTAGGCAGGAGTTTTCATCGGTTTGGATGGCGTTTGCTCATCAGAAAAAACCGCGAGTTCACATCAGAAAAAAACGCGAATTCTCTCTGGCGGCATTTTAAAACACCAGACACTCTGTCCCACTCTGTATTCCATTCGTCATTATTGCTGTCATTGTTAATATTATTCTATATAGTATAACTTAAAGCAGCCCGTACATTCATAGCACAATATAAATGGCTGGCCTCATATTTAGGTCAATATTAAAGCACCTATAACAATAAGTTTAGTTAAATTAATGATCAGACTCACCTCGAATCTATCCAAAGGTACAAAAAAAATCTTAAAAAAAAGCTTTATAAAATATATATAAATATCTGTGTAGCGCTGTGTACTCTCCGAGGATCGTGAAAAATGGCTCCTGCAAATTCCTTCTCTCTCGTTTATTAATCACGTGATTTTCCACGTCACTACGCTTCGACCAATGGCCGTTTTGCCCCGGTGCATGAGGGTTAGGAACTGTTAGGACTTTGTTAGGAATGTGTTAGGACTTTGTTAGGAATGTGTTAGGACTTTGTTAGGACCTCTTTGAACTGCGTTAGGATGCGTTAGGAACTGATTGCCAGTCCGTTCGCCGGAGGGTACGGCCACAACTACGTAAAAAGTCTGAACGTATTTCCATGCACTTTGTTTCAGAAATGTATAGGCTTCACTTAGGGACCCTGCTCCGGTATTTCGGCAACACCACAACAAAGCAGCGGAGTTGGTTCCGTTGGCAACCGTCTATGCACAGTGCCATGAAATCAAGCCTGTGCTATCATTTGAAGCCTAGAATTGGCAGCAATGAACAGTTATTAACCACAGTGTGGCAAACAGAAGCTTCAAACTGTTTGTAAGCATCTAAAATATGCAGGGAACTTTCAGGTGATCTATTTAAATATCTTATCATGCAAAGAGGGACTACATTATGATTGGTCTTAGTGACCCTCAACAAAGTGCATGTCAGAAGTGGGATTTGAACCCACGCCTCCAGAGGAGACTGCGACCTTAACACAGCGCCCTGAGACCGCTCCGGCCATCCTGACTAGCTGTCTCAAAGTTATGCAAATTTGCCAAAAAGCTATGCATTTCTTTTAACAAGCTCTCAGAAACAGACCAATATCGCCTCAACAGAGGTGCAGCAAAGGAACCAAATGGCAGAAGTGGGTTTTGATCCCAAGCCTCCAGGGGAGACTGCTACCTGAACGCAGCGCCTTAGACCGTCGTCGACCATGCTCGGGTATAGCCAATAAAGCACAATTAGATTACTTGAAATAGAAGCACTGATTTCATCAATAACTATTACTCTTTGGGGCAGTCTCATCTGTGTATTTGATATTACTTACTTTGTGTGAGTCCTGCAATGTTTCTCCGCTGAAAGTCACCCTAATTGTAGCACATTTACTGCAGTTTTCAAGTAAGTGCTAACAAGCTGGGGCAACTTTCAGTGAATTTGGACACCACGAATGTGGAGTGTGAAACTATAATCACATTCATTGTAGTTGAGGTTCTAACTAAAGTGTTTCTCTTTACACATATTTATTAAAATTCTTGCACATATCTTTAGTGAAACATGTGTTGAAATCTCTTAGAGCAATACCTTTTAATACATCAGTGAGAGCATCATTTGGCTGTGTACCTACTCTCAATCTAGACTGATAACTGCCTGTCAACGTGTGAATCACCTGGTTCATTCACATGGAGTGATCTGCCATCATCACTTCTATTGTCACATTGGCTTCTGTGGGTTGGACTGTGAATCATCTCAAGTTATGATCAGACTCCAAGCATTGAAATGAACATCACTTGACTCAGGCCCCTCAGAATGAAAAAGTGGTCACTGGTAAACTCTCAGTGGACAACTTCTAGGATAGCAGGCATGCAGAGATTATATTTGTTGTGGTAAACATGGCAGGAGAAGATGCAAAGAAGAAGACCACCTCTCTGTCTTATTGTCACAGTTGATATCCTATCAATGGCTCTGACCTTCCTGAATGGTAAGTACTATTTGTTGGGGTGATTTTTGGGTGATTCAAGCAACTAAAGATACCATATATTTGTTTACAATGTATTAAACGTTAAACAGTTTGGACAACATCCAATACTTTCAAAAGAAACCACAATTCGATTACTTCAAATAGGAGCAACTTGATTTACAATACATACATGAGTGCTTCTCGTTGGGGCGGTCTCATCTGTGTATTTGACTTTACTGTCTTCTGTGACTGCTGCAATGTATCTCTGGGTGTTACCCCGATTGTTTCACATATATTTCAGTTTTAATGTGATTTTCTGAAAGCTTTGATACCTTTCAGCAACAGCAATAATATGAAAATTCAGGTTACTCAGAATGAAAAGCATTCCATTTGTTCAATTCTCATGCAGGTATGTAACAACTGTGAACAGCAATTAATGCACATGAAGTTTCATTGAGGAAGATTGTCACCATTGCTATTCCCTGTACTGGCCTGCCTGAATGGCAAACCAACCTTCAGACGTAGTTGGCAGGATTTGAACCTGCGCGGGGAGACCCC